GTCAGCCGCGAACCCACTTATAGATCAAAATAAGCGGATTCGCGGCTTATTTTAGTCTATAAGTGGGTTTCGCGGGTTAGCCACTTACACCCCTACCCACCTCCCTCCATTTGCATGCACGACCGTTGCCACCAAGAATGACTCCTGCGATGCCTGCAAGCAGTAAGCCCGCAGCCCCCCCGCGATCCCACCTGTGTGCTGCACTGCATTCTGCCGGCCGCCTGGAAGCTGCTGTGCTCAGGATTTTTTTTTTAAAAAAAATGGTTGGTGAGGATTGTATTTGTATATATGTGGTGTACAGGTAATTTACAGATTTGCATATAAATAAGGGTTAATTGGATATATGCCACTGCAGTTTTGCGTATTCAGAAATATATCAGTACAATTCGAGATATCGGCTGGGTGCCACTAGAATTTTGTAAAATTAGATTTGTGCCATCGCCGTCACGTTTTCTGTTATTATACAGACCAAAATGCCCCTAAGACGTGGTACCCACGCCTCCTCTCATACACACCATGGGAGGCCAATAAGCATGTACACACTACATGTCTTCTCATGTTCCTTTATGGTAGGTCTATCTGTGTCAGAGATCACTACTCCTATAATGGGGAAGAGAGAACCCTCTTTAGAGATTTGGCCAAGGGGCGAGTAGAGATCGAGTTTAGGTGATGTAAACACTCAAACAAAGAACACAAGCAAGTATACAGGTTTAGGTCGCTCGGAAGCGTAATACCCTACTACTATGTCTAACACTATGTGGATGCAAGAGGTTTACAATGTTTGTTCTTTGTTGAGCTAGGGTTTCTTACTCTAGTGAAAATACCAAAGTTCAAAGAGTAAAAAAAGTCCCCTCTAATTGGTATTATCCCTTCTTTTATAGCACAAGGGAGTATATAGCGGCGTAATTACCTAGGGAATACCCATGCTACGTCTTATCATTGATCCCTCTAACATCCTTGAGTAAATGGGAGGATTATGGTGTGCAATTGTTTTTACTTTGCCCCAGGCTCCTAAGTCAAAGGGCCCCAGGACAGGTGGGTCTTGTTTCTTCCACCACGTACTCGATCTTGAACCAAGTGGCCCAAACCACATCACGTTAGAGCCGCCGCTGTTCTCCTCACTTGGTGGCGAAGTTGTGGATATACCAGCCTGTATGCGACACGTTACTTCATCCTTATAGCTTTAAGAAATGCGGCATTAGCAGTGTTTTCAAGCTCCACCACCTCTTGGTTGCATGCGATCGAGTTGTAATCTCAATCTATGGGTGCCGCACTGCAATCGCCATGATGATGTTGCCCTCAATCAGGTCACTGGGCCCACCATCCTGCTCAGACCACCAGTAGCGCACACAATCTTTGCCTTGAGATGATAACCCTCAGGCAGAGACCTCTGTGAAGAACCTGGGGAAGCTAGTGCCAGCGGGTTCCTCGTCAAAGTTATCGGATGATTTGTTTTTACCCTGGGGTAGCATCAATCTCGCGGGCTGTGTTCTACCCCGGGGCACGTATTGTGCCCAGGCCCCTGGACGGACCCAGGTCCGGGCGCACTCCCGTGTTTTGTAATAGAAGTCCTAGTTATGTTAGATGAGCTTCTTGAAGATGTCGTTGATGAAGGAGTTCATGATTGACAAAACTCTACAATTTTATTCCAATACGCAGTTGTATCTATCTGTGCCTTGAAGATGTAAATCTTGTTGGAAGCCAGGGTCCCGGGGCCTCAGTTCCCATTCTGTGCCGGCTGTCAATTCCCACGTAGGCAGGGTCTGAGCTGACAATGAATCCCTTCTTTCTATAAAGTTAAGGCCAAAAGCTCAAACCTCGTGCTTCCACGTCATCATCAAATTGTGAACCATTGGATGAATGCATTAGATCGCTTCTCAGACGTTGGATGGAATGCAGCATAAGGCCCAACCCATTAGTCACCAAGTGAGTCTTTTCGCCTCCTCAGTACCAAATGTAGCCCACATGAACACATTGGCCCATCTCCACACACATCTACATGTATCTAGCCTGTCAATCCGTATAAAAGAGCTTTATGGCTAAACGCCCCTTCAGTTAACATGTGTTACCTAAATTATCTACAAATTTTGGATAGGGATGCTAAAAAGAATTTCTCCAAAAAAGCTATTTGTTTCTTATGTTTCTTCTTGAGATTGTACCTCCTATCTAACAAATTGATGTTAATTCAGTCCTGCAGCAACGTGCGGGGCATCCTCTAGTTCTAAATATAGCAGAAAGCCAGAAAGTAATAATGTGGCCCACGGTACTTCAGGATCCCGGAGAAAGAGGGACCCAGTTCTCATTTCTCCAACAAACTGCGTATCCACCTATATTGCTTACTATTGCAAATGATTTAGAATATATATATAGCATATAGCCCATTTTTCTTTTAGTCATGGTTCCATTTTTTTTTCATGTTTTATCTTTTTTTTTTCTTTTGATGAAATTTACTCTCCCCTTTTATTTGATAATTCTAGTACCTCCAAGAAACACCCATGAACCTATGATATGTCCAAGAATGTTGACTATAACCATGGTACTTCTGTTGGCATCGAGTCGCGCCGCCACACCTTGAGCACGTTAATTATGTGCAACCCGCAGCGATATTTGGAGACACACCACCGCAGGAGTGGGTAGATACCGCCGAATGAACACCTGGGAGGAACCCCATCGGGGTGAACGCACATCGGTGTGTTCTAGACTCGACATGCCAGCTAGAATATCCTCTAACATCGTAGAGATGAGAGATGATGCGCAATTGAAAGATTGAGGGGGTGAATAGACTGAGTCATGTAGCAAGCAGGAGAGAGATGTAAAATATACAGTATAGCATTAATAGATTGATTTTGATGATTTATTGGTGGTTGTTTTGGCCCTCTATATTTATAGGAGGGTTGGACTTGCTTTTTAAGTCTTTTCCAAGTCTTAGGTTTTGGGAAGCTTTACAATCAAGGAAACCCAGGATTAAGAAAGAAACATGAGGAAACTCTAACTGGAGACAGACTTTGTGCTACCGGTTTGACCGTCCAGATACCTACGGTCTGACCGTAATTCATTTTACTGTCTACGAGGCTACACAATGGCAGTCAGACTCGTGGGAAAGCTTTGATATTTTTAAAATTTGGCTCAAACTTGCCATAATTTAACCCTAGTGTCAAATAACACGGATGATACCTAGGACACCCGCAATAAAACACTGGCGATACTTCATACATCTGTGGAACACTAATGATGCAAATTATATAAGTCCACGACTCACTGATAATACACCTAATGCCTCAAAAAATTTCTAACGGCACTCTACTGTACATTCCGCATAACGTTAATGACATTCATGGTAATAACAACATGATGTGTTCTTACAAAACCAGTCTCCCAACTTACAAAACCAGTGCAAAATGAGACCCCTCGGCAGTATTGTCTCCAGTTTTGGCTGACGTGGCTCATTTGACTAGGTCTTCATCCCACGTGACATTAACGTGGCACTTACGTGACAATTTGATATGAAATATAATAAAAAACATGGGCTCACATGTCAGTTGCAACAAAAAAAAAGTGGTGGAGCCCACGTGGGCCCCCACATGTCATTCTCATTCCCCTCTTCTCTCTCCCCTCTACCCCGGGCAGTCTTCTTCCTCCTCTCTCCCTACTCCTCTCTGAGACGGTGGAAGAGAGGGTTGACAACGCTCCCTACGCCTCTCTCCTTCCCCTTTTCGGCATATGGGTAGAAGAGGACGAAGCCATAGCCCTTAGATCTACCAGATTGCTTGTTGGAGATGACACAGCAGTCCTCGAGCTCACCGAAGAGGGAGAACGCAAAGTGGAGGTCGTCGGCTTCGGCGCCCCAGCCGAGGCCGTGGACGAAGAGCTTCATGCTCGTGAGGTCGGCCTCCGTTGCACATAGCACAACCGCCATCGTCGCAGGGGTCGTCATCGCGGTCGTGAGAAGCAGAACCACCAGCTGCTCCCTTGATAGGGGCTCGAGCACCTTCACGATGTCCTTATCATCATCGTCCCCTCCGGCGCCGTCTTCCCCCTTTGCATCTCTCTTGACCTATCAATCTCTCCCTCCCCCTATGTTCCTGTGGCGGATGGTGAGGAGCGGTGGCCGGTGGAGCATGGTGAGGAGGACGGCAACGGGCGCCGGTGGCGCCCTCAAATCCTCCACTTTGTGCCTCCTCCTGGATCGGCACTGATCAAGGCCTTCTTCTCCACCGCACAACGGACTAGAGCCATGTCTTCCTTGCTACGAGCTTGAGCTTGCCAGCCCGTCGGCGGGAAGACGGCAGTGGCAGCCAGTGAGGAGATTTCAGATACTGCCGGGACCAACGTGCTGTAGTCGCCGCTATATTACTCCCCCAATGTGCATCGTCGTCGTCGTCGGAGTCGAATGAGGGGGAGGGCTCCGTGGCAGAGGTTGAGTGTAGAGGAGGGACGGCGCCACGGCGGGCGTGGAGTAGGAGGTCGAGGGGGTGAGGATCTCGCTCGCCGCCGCCCGCTCCACTCCGCCTACCGGCTTTGTGTGCCGCTACTCCGCCCGCTGCCCACTCGGCTCTGTCGTCTTGCTCCACCCGCTCGGCTCCGCTAGTTGCTCCGCCCGCCGTCGTCTCGCCTGCTCCGCTTCGTGCTGATCTGGCGAGTTGGCATAGGAGAGAGAGATGATAGAGATAAGAGGGGAGGGTGATGGTGACATGTGGGGCCATGCGGGCCCCACTATTTATTACTACCTTCGTCCCAAATTAGTGGCCGTTTTCACTTTTTTCTTGTAATGTTTGACCATTCGTCTTATTTGAAAAATTAATGCAAATGTAAAAAAGGATAAGTCATACTTAAAGTGCTTTTGATAATAAAGCAAGTCACCAACAAAATAAATAATAATTTCATAATTTTTTGAATAAGACGAATGATCAAAAATTACAAACAAAAACTCAAAGCGACAAGTATTTTAGGACGGAGGTAGTATTATTTTGTGTGTGTGTAACCGACATGTAGGGTGTCCCACGGTTTTAATTACTTTTCTAGATCGAATTGCCACAAAGCGTCACGTCAATGCCACGTGGAACGAAGACCTGATCAAAAGGAGCCACGTAGGTACCACATCAGACAAAACCGGAGACAATACTGCCAAGGGACCTCGTTTGCTTGGTTTTGTAAGTTGGAGGATGCGTTGTATCCGGTTTTGCTGTCGAGGAACGAATTTCAGACTCGACGACAAATTAAGGGACCTAAAACTTACTCCAACTAAGCGAGACATGGCCTACAGGGCGGCCCATGGAACCGTGCTCGACGGGAAGCGATCGATAGGATTTATTCCCTTCTCTTAATTGCTACTCATGGATTAAGGAAACTTATTAATCCACTACATTAAAACCTGACAACACATATGCACAGGGCCCAGAAGCAGAGAATGCAAAAGCCAGCCCTGCAGGGAAACAGAAAAGGCAGAAAATCATGCCAAATCAGAACTGCCTACTAGACTTCCCCGCGGATAATTAACCACTGCCATTACCGCAGCCACAAATCGGTTCACCTTTTTATTCACCCCCAACGAAGAGTTTGCCGCTTCTAGCTTCCTTACTCCACCATCGCCTCCCAGTGAATCTGCTCCTGTTCACACAGCGAGATTCATCGTCTTCCACCTCCGTTTAGCTCTTTGCTTTTTTTATTTTTGCCATACATGAGTGGGTGTAGCTGGCTCTGTTCGTTGGTGATCCTGCAGGCCGTTTGCTCCGCCTGCTGGCAGGTTGCTGGTGCCAACTCGTTGCGGCTTGCCGTCGGTCAGATCGGAGGTGTTTTTGTGTACCTCCAAGATCCGAGCCTTATGTCGCGGCGTGCCCGCGACGAGCTTGTAGATGGTAGCTGCTCCGGTGATGAAGATCTGGCTGATCATGGAGCTTGGCCGCAACCGGGAGGAGGAGCTGGTGGTGATCATGGAGGTGTGCCGCGAGGAGGAGAAGCCGGCGAAGCTGAAGCCGATGTAGATGTCGACGGCGACGGTGGTTCTGCTGGCGACGTCGAGTGCCAGGTATGTCACAAACGATTCAAAAACGACAAATCTATGTTTGGCCATCTGCGGAGCCATCCCAACAGAGGTTACAAGGGTGCCACCCCACCTCTCAAGATGTCGAGCACACCGTCGTCGTCGTCACCGGTTATACCGGCCGGCAGCCCACCGCCACAGCCACCACCGTCGTCATCGTCGTCACTACGACCGGTTGGTGACAGTAATTCCTCAATGCCAACGCCTGGCATCTCTTTAACCACTTACGAGAAATTGGCTGCCTGTGTGATGCTCACACTTAGGCGTCGGTACGACCGGGATCAACGGCAACTGCAAGCTCCACCGAAGCTCGAACGAGCTGGAGCAGGAGACCAGCTGGCCACAAACATGGTGGAAGGAGCCGAGGGGAGCTCCCGCGCCATTGTCCGCGACGAACATGAAGCACGGAGGAGGAAGAAGGGGAAGAGGAAGCTGAAGGAGCCTAGAGAGGAAGAGAGGAAGGTGAAGAAGGAGAAGAAGCGTCACCCCTACATGTGCAAGCATTGCAATGAGGAGTTCTCCACACACCAGGCGCTGGGCGGGCACATGGCCGGCCACCATAAGGAGAAGAGGATCCTCCTCAAGGAGAAACAGCGTGAGAGAAGCCTTGTCCTGGAAAAAGAACCTGAAAGGAGTCATCACCTGATGGAGGAGAAACATCCTGAAAGAGGCCTGATCCTGGAGAAGAAACAGCTCGAGCGAAGCAGCATAGTCTTGAAGGAGAAACAACCTGACAAGAACCTGATCCTGGAAGAGGAACAACCTGAGGTGGTGTACCAAGACAAAATTGATCAGACCATGAACTGGCAGAAAACGGAAAGAAACGAGGGAGTGTCGTACCTTGGTGGCGGCTCCAATACAGCGCCGATTGCTCAAGAAGATAGCCGCCCACCGTTTGGTTTTGACCTCAATGTTGAGGCTCCAGAACAGGAATAGAACTGGAATAGCAATCCAGCATATCATCTGTGTAATCTCGTAGTAAAACAATAAAGCTAGATGGTAGGCATGTTTGCCTAAAGCCAGGATTCCAAAGACAAAGACATGCTGTAGGCCATTCCCTATGTTGCTTTGAGAATTGTTTGCACATTGAGGACTATGTGTCTTGTTGAAAGCTATACATGTCGAAAAGCATCTTTCAGTCTGAGAAACAAAACGAAAAGCAGCCAAGGTCTAACATTCCTTACTGTGCAGAAGTAACACATATGAGGAAAATATACAAGAGCTGAGTTATCAAGATTATAAACCTCTATAATTCCAACGTGTCATGAACATGCGGATTCAATATATGCTGAGTTGAAGCTTCTGGATAACATAGTGTAATATTCCCCCATGTTCAAAGTATGCCAGCTCCACCTATAAAAGCATGTTAAAAACAGAAATACTCAAAACAAATGCTTAGGTTACAAACGGTGCACTTGAGAAATTAAATATAAAAGAACTAACTTGAATTTTGATATAAAGCTTTCGATATAAAAAATTATATCTCTACTACTTTAAAAGACGACACTCTTTTACTTTAAAAGCGAAGTCCTTGTTCTCCTCCCCCACCAACCCCACCCAAAAACCAGTGTTTCCATGAGAAAATCAACCCACCAAAAAAAATCAGATAGAAAAAAATGAACCCATAAAGCTATATGTCTGCATTCCCACAATCCTGTTGCAAGTTATGAAAATATCAACATTGTTCTCGCATTCTAAGAAAATACAAATATAAAGTATATATGATACTATTTACATCTCATGTTGGTATCCTCTCATATAAAAACAACGATACGAAGTTACACACACTGGACAAATGACACCATTTATAGTGGTTTTTATTAAACAAATAATAATAGAGGTTTTCACTAGTGCAAATTGGTGACATAGATGGCACTTCAGGTATGCCAGGGCATTGACCACAATGTATTCTCTAAAATACAGTAGCAGGATAATTAATATGAATAGTCTACAATCATGAAGATTGTTTGCAAGGGCAGGCAGGCAGGAACAACTTAAATCACAAAAATACGTGTTCAACTATGGTCCTGTTTGGTTCCATGGGCTAATGTTTAGCCCTCACCTTTTAGCCTCAAATTAGTCCTGAAGGATCCAAACAGGTGGGCTAATTTTGAGCTAATGTGAATTAGTCCCCCTCAAAACATTAGCCCCTCTAAGGGATGCTAATGGGGCTAATTTTGTGTGGGGACCATAAAAAAGCAGGTCTCTCTCTCCTCTCTTTTTACTCTCTCCACCTTTTAGCCTTGAATTAGCCCATGGCAAAAGACAATATTTAGCCTACCAATTCATGACTAAACATTAACTCTCAAAATTAGCCCTGAGCTAATCTTCCAAGAGAAAATCCATGAAATGCCATTGACAAACACTCTAATTTCAGAAATACCATCGACAAAGTCAACTTCCAAAAAATGCCATCACCGTCAAACTGCCGTTAGCATCTTTCTGTTAAGTTGCATGAAAAGACAATCTTACCCCTAGACAACCATTTACTCACACAACATCATTTTGCATTGCTTGCTCACAATAAATTATATTTCTGTTAGTTTATAAATTCACAAACATCATTATTTTGCTATCAATCAAGTTATTTCATAATTGAATTCACTGAAATCAAATCAAACAAAGTCTTCAAATGAAATCAAACAAAAGGGAAAATTTCAACATCAGAGTTGCAACACCTGCTAGGACTACAGCTTCCTCCTCCACGGACCTCAGCGACTGTGGCTGCAGGCCTCTCCTCCCCCTCCTCGCCGGCGCTTACGGACCTCTCCTCGCCAGCGTCTAAGGCCCCCGCGCCACATCCTGCAATAGCCGCGCCGCCGTGGACATCCTCGCCGCACCCTGCCGTGGACCTCCTCACCGCGCCCTGCCGCGCCGCCGCCGCCGTGGACCTCCTCGCCGCGTCCTGCCTCGTCACCGCCGTGGTCCTCCTCGCTGCATCCTGCCACGCCCTCGCCGCCCTAGTCCTCCTCGCCGTGTCCTATCGCGTCGCCACCATGGTCTTCCTCGCTGCGTCGCCGCAGCAAGGGACCGCCGCCGAGCCACAGCCACCGCCGAGGACCGGCCATCGAGCCACCGTCGGGGACCGCCGCCGCCGTGGACCTCCTCGCCGCGTCCTGCCGCGCCGCCGCCGTCCTGGTCTTCGCCGCGTCCTGTCGCGTCCTTGCTGCGGTCCTCCTCGCCGCGCCCTTGCCGCACCGCCTCCGTGGACCACCGCCGCGTCCTGTCGCGTCGCCGCCATGGTCCTCCTCGCCGCGCCCTTGCCGCGCCGCCGCAGCAGGGGATCGCCGCTGTCGCCGAGACGCCACCGGGGAGAGCGCTAGATCGGGATCGGGATCGGTAGTGGTAGGGTTAGGGTTAGAAATTTCGTTTTTTTCTTTGACAGTAAAAACTAGGTATATTTTGCACTGAGGGCAAAATAGTCATTATTAAAAAAAATAACGGTTGTAACGGTGTGGAGTTGACGGTGATGGCATTTTTGGGAGAAAGAGGCTTATGCAATGGCATTTTTGGGAAGTTGTCTTTGTCGATGGCATTTCTGGGATTAGGGTGCTTGTCAATGGCATTTTATGGATTTTCTCATCTTGCAAACAGGGCCTAGGCATATTGCCTTTTGCTCTCTTGTGCAACTACTCCCAACACTTGGAACATACTTCAATGTATTATTCTTTCACCAATTAGCAAGCATTAAATACAGACAATTGAAGTAACTGTCGATTCTGCACCTTGAAACCAACTTTATTGTCCAGGCATGCATGCCAGTCTGTTTTCACCCAGTCATGAGTTCTGCAATTGTATAGCTTCATAAAACCATGTATGCAAATAAACCTAATCTACAAAGTGAGTGTGTGCATTACCCCTTTGGACCTGAAAAACATGACTCAACATCTCCCAAATCTACTCATCTAAAGCTGACTCTTTTGCTGGCTTTTGATTGGTCCACGTGGCACCCATATTTTAGAAGAAAAATCATTAATTCATACTGACAAAAAAATGCTTAAGAATCATTCGTGGAAAAAAATCTAAGCAAAATATCGTATATGGATTCCAGAGGCTTCCAAAACTATCTTCTCCTCCCAAATCGTACAAACTTCCATTCATTTACCTTCTATAAATAATCTACACCTACGCCTACTCAGTAGTACTCCTATACCTAAATATATAGTAAACCTAAAATTATTATGTAGAAAAATCCAAAACAAAGAGTGAAAAAGATAAAGGCAATCTCGGTTTCCTATACCACGCAATTTGATCAGAAATACCTCCCCAGCCAAAAAATAATAATTGTATTTTTATGTTATATAAGCCATGTCAAATATATAAGTTTAGAATAAGTTCACCAACTACCATATTTATTTTACAAAAGAAAAGATATTTCAAATTTACCTATGCTAGAAACCTACAATGACAACAATACCTTCAAATGTAAAGAAAAACTGAGAACGTTGTTCCTTTTCACCTAATGAACAATACCATAACCAGGAGGTACGATAAGAAATAAAGAGGAACCCTATTTGATACAGACAAATCGTTCCCAATTCTCTTGTGAAATGAAGAGGAATCCAATTCAAAATGAAGAGAAATCCTACTTGAGTCAGGCAAATCGTTCTCTATTCCTCTCAAATTCTATTTGGCTTTACTGCATTTGTTGCATTTGTTGTAAGTGGACCCTTACCACATCAGCTGTGTCACTGAATGATCAATTATAATATCTGTTGGAACCTAAATACGGAAGAGCAAAATTATATAAAACTAGAAAGCATATATAAAATGAAACACCCCAAAATAGGATGGGAAAAGAATTAATTAATACCATTGTATTAATCCGAGTAGCATCAACACCCAATTTAAATATTGCATCTCTCATGCTTGCAAGGTCAAAAAGAACAGACACACATTACAAACTTTCATATAGAAAGATAGATGAAGGATCACACATGCTGACAGGACGTCTCCCAGTCCATCTTCTCTATATACACCTTGGTTATTTCGAAACCACTGCAATTCTTGGTTATTTCGAAACCACCGCAATTACAGATCGCTGATTCTAGAAGCACGCGTATAGTGTATGGCAGCTTACATGGAATAAATATAACGAAGCAATGGTCAGGTGAGAGTGATCAACTTTTGTAATTTCCTGTAGGCAGTACTAAGGGTAAAAATATGTTCTACCGTGGTTATAAGAATCTGTTTTTTAGAATTGTATGATGATGAGGACCACCATTTTTTACAGCACAATATATATGTTAAGTAAAACACATATGAATAAGTCTGATGTTGAAGCAGCATAACACACAAATGAATCTAGTCCAATGATGAAGCAGGACCTCCTGTCATTTCATTAAAATTTCACTCTACCCATTCCACATTACCGATTCTCGTGAAGCATGATAATACCTTCTATCAACGGAGTACTAATTTCAGTAAAGTTTTACCCAACCCAATCCACATTGCCTTTTCTCTGATCAGAGACTTAATAGATTCCGAAATCACCATCATCGCTGTTTGGGAGGGTCTGCCTGGCTTACTAATATCCGCCAAAAATAACATATTTATTGACAAATTATGCATCAAAAATAAAAGGATTAGTTTAGCAGTTCGTGAAAATTCTTATATAGAGCGAAAATAAAAGGATTAAATTGGCAGTTCATGAAAATGCTTATAGAACGGGACAAATGGCCACATAACAAAAAAAAATGAAGGGGAAATCCACCCTCTATTCATCTACTCGGTTAGATGATCATTCAGAGAAGACAACACTACACATCCCAACTCCAAAAATCTTCCAGGCGACGCCAATTTGACATCCATCGAAACAAAGAAACAGAATATTTTTTAAAAAAATAACTGGAAAGACGCTGCGAGAGACTCACCCATACACCGAACCGAAGAGCATAGCGAGCAGCGGCGGCCGGCGGCCGGCCTCGCTCACCACCATCTCTTTCTCGGCGAGAACTGGAACTAGGTCTCATCCGCCGCGCCGCGCCGCGCGGCGATGACACGTGTCGCATGACTCACCAGCGGTGTCGTGCACTCATGGCGTGGCGGGGCGACGCGAAGACGGAGGAGGCGGCCATGGGGATCGGGATGATATAGTCTCTGGTGAACAGAGCAAACTGCTTTTTCACACGGGCCCTAACGAAGCCCATTAAGGCCCACTTTAGGAGGCGCATGGGCCTAATCCAGCCCATTAGTGGCCGCCCCCGCGCCAAAACCCCCCGCCGCGGCCGCCGCCGCCGCCGCTGGCCGGAGCGCCTCTTCGCCATGGCGTCGCTCGCGCCCTGTCTCCTCCGCCGCCGACCCCTCCGCTCCGCCGCCGCCGCGGCTCTAGTCCATCCAAGGTTAGCCCTCCCCCGTCGCCTCTCTCTCTCACACACCGCGCGGCGTTCGATCTCACTCTCTCGGGTTGGTCTCTCTTGAATTCAGCGGATCCTGGATGCGGCCGCGCGGTGCGGGTTCTTCCCCGCGTCCTCCGGGCGCGTCGCCGTTGTTCGAGCCTCCCCGCGTGGTGTCCGAGCGTTGGATGGACGGGCGAGGATGGTGGTTCCGGTTCCGCCAGCCCGTGCGGCACGGGAGCACGGCGGTCACGCTGGACACGGGCGGTGGATTCGCCAGGTTCTCCGTCGGCGGCGACGCGGGCACGAAGCAGGGGGCCGGCCGGAAGGGGCAGCCTCCGGCGAAGGCGGCGAAGAAGAAGATGTCGAGGAAGGCCAAGGTTAACCAGCTGAAGTGGTACCGCCTCAAGGCCAAGAAGAAGATGAAATCGCCCAATCCTGAAGTCAGGATTAGATACAAACTCGAGAAGGTCTATAATATTTCAGTGTTACTGATTTGTCTTGTTCCTATTTGCTGTTTGAATGTATCTGATTGAGGAGAAATGCTGCATTGTTAAATTGACATGTGAATTCAGGCGAAGAGGAAAGAAGAATGGCTGATTGAGAAGCTGAGGAAGTATGAGGTCCCGAGATCTCCGGAGCCGGTTCATGACCCTGAGATTCTAACCGAGGAGGAGAAATTTTACCTCAAACGAACTGGCGAGAAGAAAAAGAACTATGTTCCTGTTGGAAGGAGAGGGGTGTTTGGCGGCGTGGTTCTTAACATGCACCTTCATTGGAAGAAACATGAGACTGTGAAGGTGATCTGCAAACCTTGTCGGCCTGGCCAGGTCTATGAGTACGCCGAGGAGCTGACCCGGCTGAGCAAAGGCACGGTCATTGATATCAAACCCAACAATACCATTATCTTTTATCGTGGAAAGAACTATGTGCAGCCAAAGGTTATGTCACCTCCAGACACTCTCTCAAAGCAGAAGGTAATCATGTTTGCTAAAACTAATTTGTCGGGAACAGAGCTTGTTGTCATGCCACCTCTCTTTCTTTAAACTTAATACAAACATGTCTTGTAATTATAGCTGATTACCTGTTTGTTCTCATGCTACATTGCTACTCAGTAATATTTAGATTTTTATGAAAGAAGTTCAAATGTCCAGTCAACTTATGTTTATCTGTATTCTGTACTCCATAGGCCCTCGAGAAATATAGGTATGAACAATCCCTTGAACATACCAGTCAATTTATTGAGAAGCTAGAGAAGGAGCTTGAAGATTACCAGAAGCATGTTGCTTTATTCAAGAACCGTGGGGAAACTTTAGAAACAATCAGCAGCGAAGAAACTAATGTTGATGACCTTACAAGTAGCTCAGATACTGAATGAGCTATCTCTTTCAACCATGATGCCATAGATCATTTCGTATTGAAGGTTTGATCAGAGCATACTCATTGTTCATTACAAATGCTACTCAGTTTTGGTGCAATAATGATCATCAGCTTTCTTCAATAGTTCAGGTAGAAAATAAAATAAGTATCATATTCATTAGTTTGAATACTTTAAATGAAAAGAAGTCGCATTCATTAGGCCATGTATATCTTGCTGTCATATTGAAAATCCTTTAATTGAACAATGCTTGTATCAGCAATTTATCTTCGTAAGGTTGGTGCTGAGTACAAATCAGGCTTTTACTAGACCCAAGCAGGATTTCTTGCTGGAATTGTTAGTATGTTTTATTTCATGATATTGTTTCCAGTTCCTGTGTAAAATTATTTATGAAAATAGTTTTTCTTTTGGTCCATTTGTGTTTTCTTATTGCCCTTTGTGTATAGATTTGTCAAGCTTGCATTATGAGAAGAAATGGTGCAGCATACAGAGATCCATGTACCACTATTTATTGTGATCGCAGCATCTGGATATATTAAAGATCTGTCCACATTACAACAGTACACGTTTACATCAATTTCGGATGCTGGTAGCAACATGAGCTGTATTTGTGTGACAGATGGCTTCCTTGGAGCTTGAATCTTGAAACATCAAAACTTGGGGCTGACTACTTGAAAGAGGTCTACAGAAAACTTGGGCCATCTACTCAATTGAAAACTGGTAAACTCTCACCCAGATCTCCATGAGTTGAATAATTTAGTAACATGTAGAAGAATGTTGTTTTTAGATTGGCAAATTATGTTTGTTCACAGTTATTAATTTATGAGATTAAGGCAATATGATGTCAATGCCTCAATGGACAATTTCCATGGTAGATAACTTATAATACTCCATATATTGTTTTAGTCTCTACAGACATTTTATGCCAGATTAGAGGAAATTCCTCTTGATAGTCCTATTTTGCCTGGGAAGATACATAAAAATCTGCCAAAGCTATCACTGTGGTCATTAAAACCAACTTATTTGAGTCAGTATCTATATTTCAGTACTGGGGTACTGTACTGGTATATACTTGCTAACCAGTTACTGGCAGAAAACAATACTATTGCATGAATATAAGAACGTAAACCCTAAATTTGTTTTTTTTTACTAAAATTAATATCTAGCAACTCTCCAAGAATTGAATTAAATCTGTGCTGTGGAAAATGGTAGTCACTACAATCGATGCATTGATACTATTATAATTAGTGAATTTCAACTTTAGTAGGTTATTCTTGTTTAGTTGGATCTTTGACAGCAAAGGAAAAGCAGTGCAAGTTTTTTAGTTCTTTTCTTTGTGATAATCAACTAAATCATATATCCTTAGTTTACCACTACTATTTAGTATATATCAACAACATCAGAAATTGAAATATTAACCAGGCTACAGTTTTTTCACCATTTAAGGTTTGGTTTTCTGCAGTCACCACTGAAATGTAATGTTTTGCACAGAAGTGATCATATAATAAGAAACGGAATAATTGAGTTATGGAATAAGTAGATCTTGTGAACTACAGTTGCTAGGTGGTTGTTTCATCTAATTCTTTCCCTTTGATAGCTAATCTGTCAATGTTGAAGAAACATTTTTGACATTTTGTACGATTGTATATGCAGGCCATGGCCGGCTCCTAGACAAATCTATCTGCAGTGTTGTTTGCTGTTAAGCTCCAGTGACATAACGCCTGCAACTGCAAGCAGATCCCATGTGGTGCCTTTCAGCTTCACTGGGGATGCATTCCTAGCGTCTTCTTTTTTCTCTGTTAGGTATTTAAGCCCCAACCATTGACATGATCTGGTTGTATCCGCCTCAACAGGGCCCTGATTGATGAAGCTGATGCCATACCAATCGACTCCAAATGATTCCTAAATGTCACTCGTTGGTTCCAGTCCTTGTCATGGTGCATAAAGCAAGGTAATCAGACGAATCAGTCATCACATAGAACCGAATATTGTGCAGAGTTTAGCAGCATCTGCTTGGCATGATTACTGGCATCCTATGAGCTAGTGTAACTGTAGACCTGATCATCTGTGGAGTTGTTCACCACTTAGCGTTGTGTAACATGGACTCTGAAAATCATGTGTCACCAAATTGTGCTACTTACAGGCATGAGATTCGCTGTCAACAGATATCAGAGGCTACATTTGTTGCTTGCCGTTATTGTCTTGGAGCAGAGATTCTGAATCATGAAGTTAGCTTATTTATATGTGCAGTATGTGAACCTTTTTTTTTTCAGCTAACAATGGAACTGTCTGAGTTGAACGTCCAAACGATAGAAGTGATGGTGCTTTCCATCAAGGAAAAATGAGCAAAAGTGTGCCTTTGTGAGAAATGTGAGATGGTGAAATGACTCAGACTTACATATCAATTAACCAATGATAAATGATAACTCAAATCTTCATGTTCTTATACTGCTTTTCTTTTCACCCTGAACATTTAGAACCCAAACACACCCATAGTTTACATGTACATGATGAACATTTTGGCTTGATTGCTAACAAGCAGCCATATAACATAATAATCTTTCACATTGATAAGTATTATCTTCACCTAAAGTAGTTACCCTGTATTTATTTGTACATCTATATTTGTTTATGACATGTAAAACTAGGTCCTAGAGCCACACTCGTAACTTCCTGGCACATGTATATGCATTTACATGTGATGAATGAATTTGCAGTTAAGAAGTTGTCACTTCTGTGCCTGAGCAGAGATAGGAGGCGGCGGCAGCAGCAGAAGAAGCAGCATTGCTCTTTTACCTAGCTTGAGTCGGCCAGCTGCAGTTTGGGTCCTCAGCTGCAGCCGCCGGCGGCGAAGCCGATCCTGGACTGCGCGACGTCGTACACCACGCTGAACGTCTGCTGCTGCGTGTTCCCGATGATCGCCGTGCCGCCGGTCGGCGCGAACGCCAGGCACGTCGTGGAGTCGTCGACGTCGATGAGCACGTTCCCGGGGGACAGCGCCAGCGTCGCGCCGCCGGCGAACGCCATGTCCACGCGCGGGACGCGCAGCCCCGCGGCGGAGCCCCGGAAGCAGGTGTCCAGGATGGAGTAGGTCGGCGCCCGCGGCGCGGCGCTGGCCATGGCCGCGGCCACGGCCCTGCTCAGCGCCGTGTACACGTTCGGCGGCAGCCGCGTGATCACCGTGCCGGAGTCGATGATCGTCGGCAGGCTGCGGTACTCCGACGGCGGCACGGCGAGCGGCGCCCCGGCGACCGAGATCCCCGACAGGGTGACGAAGTAGAGCGAGGCGTCGAGGGAGCTGGACGCCATGGGCGTGTACGAGTACTGGCCGGGGTTGTACGAGCCGATGGAGAGGTAGCCCGCCGCCGCCGACGAGGTCGGGAGGCAGTAGGAGAAGGCGTAGCCGAGGCTCGGGGCGAGCTGGTAGAGCAGCGAGAGCTTGTTCTTGGCGAGGCCGATGAGCCCCGCGGAGCGGCCGAAGAGGCCCTCGTTGTCTTGGCCGCAGCCGTAGTAGAAGCCCGGGAAGCTGCCGGAGCCGAAGGAGACGGTGTCCTTGCTGAGGTAGCCGACGGAGTAGGAGCTGTCGCCGTAGCTGGCCTGGTAGATGCAGACGTTGGAGACGGAGCAGGCGGAGGGGTTGAGCGTGGCGGCCTGGAGCTCGCCGCACTCCGACGAGGAGCACTGCACGGCGGCGTACGTGCCCGACGCGCGCGGGTCGAACACCGGGCCGGCCTGCCGGTGGCACGACACCGAGCACGGGGAGCACTGCAGCCAGGTGAGCGACGACCCCGTGTCGACCACCATCACGTAGGAGGTCGCCGGCGTGCCGAGGCCCAGGCGGGTCACGTAGTTGCCGACGGCCACCGACGCGCCCGGCGTCAGCGGCACGGACGACGACGACGCCTGCGAGCCGCCGACGCCGCCGGCCTTCTTCTTGCGGTGGCCGTGGAGGAGAGACGATGACGACGGCGATGTCGGGTGGTTGTTGGCGAGGCGCGAGGCGAGGTGGGCGATGCGGGCGTCGTCGTGGGTGACGACGGCGGAGAAGGGGAGGTCGGAGGGGAGCGGCGCCGGCGAGCAGGGGCTCTGCGGGTGGTGCAGCGTCAGGTGCAGTCCGGAGCTGTTCAGGTGCTGGAAATCTGCAACAAACAATTTAAATTAACCTTACATTTTTTTTTGAACATAAATTTTGAAATTTGAACAGATTAACACTAGTAAATTCGAACAAACTTTTGTCAAATTTAAATAATTTAGAAACATTATTTTTTGTAGAGGCGCGTCGGGCTTATCACGGTCCAAATTTTGCAAATTTACTTCCGAAACTGTGAACCCAAACCTAAACAATTGCTCCATCAGTCTTAAAATATATCAACTTTTGTAAGCATTTCAAATTTACCCTAAAATTTAACAATTTTTCCAACTATATTATCTTCTTAACGATTCACTTGTTGAGAACATTCCCCATTTAATCTCTTAACCTAATTTTTCTTCTAATTCAATCAAAACATTTCTTCTGTTTAATTCCACCTACTTTTTTTTAATATGTTTAATCCTAAATTGTTTTTATATTTTAGGATGAAAATACAGAACTAATCACTTGATCATAGGGAAAGCCCAATTGTTTAACTCAGTAGCAGAAACTCCACAAACTCTGCCAAGTGACTGAAACAGATGCTTGCTAGCTAGGAGTACATTCATTCCAGAATATAATAATTTTTAGGGTTGAATATGAGTATTAAGAAAATATGTGGAATTAAATGTGAAAAGATTGTGATTGCTAGGGACAAGAAAGTAGCATGGGACAAGAAAGTAGCAGTGGCTCTAGAAGTTTTCATTGGGTGATCCTACCCCCATAATTCGAAATTGCATAATATCAAATTTACATCTATTTTATCGAAATTACATCTTTTTTAAAAAAAATATTTAACGGATAGGGTAATCCAAAGGCCACCCTCAAAACCTCTATAACCACCACTAAAAAATAACTGTAAAATTTGAATGAAATAAGATTATAATTGGTTGAGAAGAAAATGAACATGAAAAAGTTATTAAGTTTTAGGATAAATTTTAAATGTTAAAAATTATTATATTTTAGGATAGGGCTAGTAGCCACTGGCTAATCAGCTAATTAACCTAGCTAGGTAGGTGCCGGCCGTAGGGCCGGAGACAATCGTGTTGTGCCACAAGTAGTTCTGGTATTTGTGGTCGATCGTGCGACAATGCGACGAGACAGTGATGCGCCACCAAATGCAAGAGCAGCGGCACCGAGCTATCGATCGATCAACAAGTCGCTGGTCTGAAGAACTTTCTCAAGAACAAACGCATGTGACTGTCTACACCTGTCCAATACTCTCTGTCGACGTACAGATATCATCCTCGATTTGACCCCAGTACGTACGTACTTGTGGTCGTACATCAATCTGTCTGTATATATAGCTTTTGATCGATAAGCTTGTCGCGGTATGCAACACGTTGCAGATTAAGCTAGCCAAACAAATTAAGTAATCAGACACCGATCTGTATAGATGCATTGATCTCGGACAGACAGGCAGACTGGCCAGCCGACACAGATTTTGGCATTAGCGGATATATATAGGTGAGCATAGTTTAGGTACGAAGGCCGAATAGCCTTATTATAATCGTTCATGTAATTAAGGAACGAAAATCGCTACAAAATTGTCTGACAGCTTGATCAAAAAGCTTTCACTTTGTAAACTCTCAAAGGAGTGTTAAGATTCATGCAAATATGAAATAAAATTTCTGCCGCGCGCTCGCGTGAGGCGAGGATTGCACCTACGACCTCACGCACATATGCTCGTGGTGCTAATCGACTTTCTGCACTTACAGCCTCGTCGGATAGCCTAATAAACCAAAGAAAAAGCCAAATTTTAAATTTTTAAGCTTAATTTTAAGATTGATTTTGACATATTTTCAACATAGTTTCTTTTTCAACATTGGCTTTTAAGTCACAAATAACACATTTATAAAAGTTTTACCCACAAATTTATTTTTATTTCCTAATAAGCCGTTTTGGCTTATTAGGAAATAAGCCAAATGATGGGGACCTTAATTGCTTAATCTAAGTTCACTTACAATATAACCTTCCGTTTCAGCTTATTAGATGTTTTGACTTTGATTAAAGTCAAACTAGTTTAAGTTTGACAAAGTTTATAGAAAAAATAGTAATATTTTTTAACCAATAAAAATATATTATAAAAATATATTTAATTATTAATTTAATAAAACTAATTTGGTAATGTAAATATTACTATACTTGTCTATAAACTTATTCAAGCTTAAAACAGTTTAACTTTGACCAACATCAAAATATTTTATAACCTGAAATGGATGAAGTACATTCTTACATTTAAAAGTTTTTTTTAAAAAAAAAACTATCGAATTAATGTTGTATATATATACTCCATCGAGAAAAAGCCAAACCAAATGTCACGTTTGATTATATTCGAGATGCCATTGTTGCGTAGCACAGTATTGTTCGATAATCGATAGGTTGGTGTGTGTTCTCAAAAAAATAAAAAAAGTTAGGTTGGTGTGGGGTCATACGGTCACGTGTGAATGATTTGTTGCAGGATTGTATGTACTTGAGTACAATATACATGGACCACGGAGTGCAGAATCTGTCCTAACACGAATGGGAATTTTTGGAGTTGGGACCTAGCTAGCTATATTATGTCTAGGTTCTTCATGTCTGCTTCCAATTTCCAAAACGATGATTATACAACTGAAAGTATGCATCTATTTTGTCACATTTTCATCAGGTGTCACATACTCACACCCCCCTTAATCAGATACTCCCTACGTTTCTAAATATTTAACACCCTTGACTTTTTAGCACATGTTTAACCGTTCGTCTTATTCAAAAACTTTTGTGAAATATGTAAAACTATATGTATATATAAAAGTATATTTAACAATGAATCAAATGATATGAAAATAATTAATAATTACTTAAATTTTTTGAATAAGACGAACGGTCAAACATATTTAAAAAAGTCAATGACGTCAAATATATATTTAGAAACGGAGGGAATAATATATATTGCCATGGCCGTTCTTTCTTTTTTTTTAATAAGGGTGCAATTGTCGGACGATCATCCATCAGATCAGGTTTTTCAATAATTTTTTGATGTGTTCTTGTTTGAAAATATCACCACTACAATTTCATATTTAGGGCAGTTATTTTTAATTGATTAACGGAACACGGAATATATATCATGGACACGTTTTCTAATATTCTAAACGGTACGATTAATTTTAAGTGAACTTTTCATTGGTATTTCTAAGAAAACTTTATAAATCAAAATTTAAAGTTTCTAATATTTAATTCATTTGTTTGTGCTTTCAAAATATATTTTATAATTAAGCTTGGTTTCATCCATCATCCATCAACACCAAACCGTTGGTTGTGTTATGCAGAACAACAAAGAGAGAGAAATCAGTCTTCTTAATTTTCCCTCCTCTTAAACAAAACGTTTTGAGTGAACAACACACAATATATAGTAAGAGAGTGTTAACAGAGGGTTGGGGTCAAAACGAGTCAAGCGGAGTCAAGAGTAAACCAAACAATTTTGTGGACTTGATTACTCAGAAGAAGAGAATTTAATCGGTGCACGCGAGGGTCTATTCGCCACACGTCATTGGTTGACTCTTCTCTGTAGATGATGGTCACTTTTTTACAGGTAGCGTACCCCCAAAAAACGCCTGACATAGTGCAGAAACTAGTGCGCATTTCGAATATTTTTATATCATATTAGAAGCATCCAAAAATTGTTAAATCAAATAACTTAATCATCCATGGACCATGGTACTTGCTGGATTTTGTCGAGTTCTATAGGGTTTGGTTTGGAAAATTCATAGCTGGACCACTGCTATTTATAGCTTCAAAGAAAAGGGGCAGAGCATCACTTGATTCAGTGCTCCTAAAGACAAGCTCCATGTTTTTCAGGTCGGCTATTGATAGGCTAATTTGCTGTAGTGTTCATCATTGCTCTTAACTTTGTCTGATAAGGGCATTCCCAACCCAATGACTAGGAAGGTGTTCATAGCATTAAATAAGTTGCCACCTAGGATAAAAAATGATATGGCAAGTGAATAAATGAGGAAAGAGAAGGAAACCATGTCTTGCATGAGACATGGTTTCTACACAACATCTAAGACATCATGTGAGATAACTAGCATTAAATTGAAATATGGAATAGTGGTGTTTGCATTGGAAGAGTAGTGTCTAGTACTAGTTTATCGATGATGTGGAGTTTATGGAAACTATGTCTAGTGTTATGGGTTGAGACTGCCCTAATATGGTTGTTCTGCACCCCATCGGCCCAGGTTCGACTCTCGTCGACGCTCACAAGAAATATTTACTTCTTCTTTCTTAAAACTATTGACATTAAGTCCTTAGTGTCCAACCTTTTTTAAAAGAGTGTCTTTTTAGCTACGAACCGACGAAGGTAGTATGTTAAAAGATCGATCAGCTCAAAGGCTGAAACTGCAAAAGGAACTGCTGATAGCAGACTCTCAGAACAATATTAATTACCATCTATCGGCAATTTATTCAGGTTAAAAAGGAGTTAATTACAGCCTACTAGAATAGATTTACAAGATTAACGTTGTTTCTCTGTTTTTTTTTTCCTCCTGAAGCCATTCCTATGCTAAATTCTTTACAGAGATTAATGCAATATTGCATAGGATAGGTTCATACGGATCTCTGTTATCATGGCAAACCAAAAGGACAAAAAGATGATGATTAATAGCATCTCAATTAATCATATCACTAAATTGAAAAGAGATCAGTACTGTGTGTGGACCTAGCTAGTGACAGTTGACGCGCCATCTACCACTTCCTTAGTTCTCTCTTGGATTCTTGCCTCTCCTAGCCTTCATATTTCCAAAAGCAAGAGAAAAAGGCTTGACCATCTTGTGCAAAGCAAATAGAGATGAACTGAATTGGAGGTGGCAGCAATTGGATTCACGAGATCAGTAGTACGCAAATTTGTATGTGTTTGGATGTCGTGGAAATATTCAGGAAGTAATAATGAAGCACCGCTGCTTCCAATTCAATTGGATCACAGTGTCTCAGCCTTTCAGGCAAGAAACAGGCTGGAACTAATACTCGTGATCTCAGGAGAAAAGGGCAAAAGGAGACAAGATAGGTTGATTTCTGTGTATTTTAATTTTTTTTGTCCATCTGTTTTGTACTAAAACATCTAAATGTAACACCAGCCTTGGAAAGAATCCAGTAATCTGTTAATTCTGTACTTGTCAAGAAGATTACACTGTCTCTGCTTGCAAAAACTGTCATGACAGTTCAAGCTAAGCACTAAACTATTCTCTCTATCTATATGGGCATAATCCATTGGACATACTATGTTTTGGTCCTTAATTATATTAAGGAATCTAACAATTCACATGATCATACAATACTTCAGCAGTAACAGAAGAATAACAGCAAAGAAATGACGAGAAAGCAACAGATGAACTGAACTACATGTAGAAAATTAAGCAAGGTCAGGCATATATACCACTGATCTGTGAGGCACAAACGTCGGTGATGTCTCTGATAGGGGTTGCAATGGTGAAGAGGAGAGAGCAGGCAAGGAGAAGGGGAAGAAGCACCTCCATTTTGATCCCCCAGCTCAGCTGGAAGCTTCTTCAATTCAGAGAAGTTCAGTATGGCGAGGCCCTTATGCTTGTGACCCTTTTTATAGGGAAAAGATTCTCATTGTGCCGGTGTATGGGAATCGTGCCGGTTGCTTTCGTCTTAACACTCTAAATTAATCACCGTTTTCATCCACCCAAATGATTAGGCAGTAATTATCACTTGCTGTGAGTTGTGATCAGTAAATGATTCTTTGCCTATACTCCTACTTATATGCTGTGATTAGTAACTTAGTATATCAATCTGGCACTTGGGCAGTAGAAGAGGTGCTCTATCAGGTCTGTCTTATCAGAATTATTCAGCTACACTTTATAACATCAATATGTGCCTTCTTTTCAAAACACATCAATTTGTCTTCTGGTATAATTAAGCATCACCTGATCACCAATGTCCTTTGCATGCATGCTCCATTGCTCTTATATGTTCGGCTGCTTATTCGGAATCTCTTTGACTCAATTGCACTGTACTCGCTCCACTCGTAAATAGTTGACGCTATTGATTTCGAACGAAATGTTTAACTACTCGTCTTATTTAAAAATCTATCATAAGCATAAAAAATATAAATTATTCTTTTAAAGTTAATTATTATGATGTGTTATTACGAAGTTATTATGACGTCAACTTGGCATAGCCTTCCAATCATATTTCATCCGTCCTATTTTAAGCGCAGCTATAAGTTTCTGTGTCCAACGTCCATCTTATTTCAATTTTTTTATGATTAGTATTCTTATTATTATTAGATGATAAAACATGAATATACTTATAATTTTTTTATTTTTTAAATAAGACTGATAACTAAAGTTAGACAAAAAAAAAACTCATGACTACATTTAAAATGAGTCCGTTTTCAAAGCATAAAGAGGAATTTTGCTAGTAGCTATATACTCCCTTCGTCCCATTCTAAACGTAACCATGAGTTTCCGTGTCCAACTTTAATTGTCTGTCTTATTTAAAAAAAATTATGAAAAAAATTAAAAAACATAAGTTACGCATATAGTACTATTCATGTTGTATTATCTAATAACAACAAAAATTCTAATAAAAAAATTAAATAAGACGGACAATCAAAGTTGGACATGAAAACTTATGGTTGTGGTTAAAATGAGATCGATGGAGCATAATTGTCAGGTACTTTTTGTTCTTAAATATGCTTAATGATTCCAGCGCATCACACACATCGCAGGGCTGTGCACATGGGTGTGCAACCCATGCGACCATACAGGGTCTCCAAATTTCCAGGCCTCAAAAAATCAGCCCAACCGGAGAAGGCCCATGTATTCGTGTGGGGCCAAAGCGCCAGAACCCCGTTCGAGTCCGCGCGTGTCTCCACGTGGCGACTTCGCGTGTGTAGTGCTTCGTATTCTCAACTCCGAGCCCCGAGGCCCAATAGCGTTTTGTATTCTCTTTCGTTTTCGTATATGTGACTTATTCAGTTCGTCTCAAGTCTCGACGTCTCGTCTCCTCCGAGCACCAGGCTGCCAGCCGGCCCATCCAATTTCATATGTTTATTCATCCAGCGAATAGCAACTTAGCAAGCAACCAACAAGCAAGGCACTAGGCAGCAAGCCAGCACAGCAACGAACATTCTCCACTTTTAGTTTGACAGTTTCTGATTATGCAAAACAAGAGTTCAAAAATGTACTATTATCGATATATCGCATTTGCTCTGCAGTATACTCCCTCCGTTTCAAAAAAAACTCAACTTCTAGAGTTTGAATTTTATCCCACAAAAAACCAACTTCTACTATCCTACCTACCCTCAGCACGTAAAACGAGAAGTTTTATTCTTTCAATACCCTTTACCTACCTATCACTCTTATTACTTTTTTTCAATTATTAAGGGTATTATAGTCATTCTCACTCTCCACTAATTCTACCTTGGGATGCTAGGAATTAATTTTTTTTGGACAGGTGAAGTATATATTATTTTAGCTATATTTGATACTTGATTTAGGCCTCACTTAGAGTCCTGTACAAGGCCTACAAATTTGACGGCACGCCCCTGACACATGGCAAGGGGTAATGATAGCAGGAGGGAAGAATGGACTGCACAAACGGACAGTGAGTCAGTGACACCAAATATCACCACAAGGTTTATTTTAAAATATATTTTCTAATATTAATTTGTTGTTGGTTCCTAAAAATGGGGACTAATAAGTATGTCGACTCTCGGTACACGTTCAAGTACCAAATAAACACTCTCAGGAGAAAAAAACAATGTAATACATCTCTAGACAAATCTCTTAAAAAAATAAATTATATTGAGGGTACAATTATCATATGAGCGCACTTTAGCATATGAACTTGAAAAACGCTTATTTTGGTACATGATGAACTCTGATACTTACTAAACAAGACACAAAAGGATTCATCATGGTTAATTTTATCAAGTCAGACACTGATTAAGACGTGATGCGTACACATACGACGTGGACATGAGACATGCTATCTTTATAAACTTGAGTTGTGCTTTATTATTTATTGTTCTAACCTTGGATCATTTCTCCTTTTTTATGTCTTTCTCTAATCTTTAGACTTTATTGAACCTTTTTACTGAACAACATAGCATTCTTCTCACGTACGTGTTTATGTACCATCCTAATAAACAGTTAAGTTAGCAAGATTAGCCTTTGTTTTATTCTTTTGGTCTTGGTTCGCATGCACCTAACAAGTTCATGTACCAAAATAAGAGTTTTACAAGTTTATTACTAGATTGCACCCACATGATAAGTTCATGTATCGCCAATACAATTTATTAGAAAAACGTAGTGTGATTTTTACTTAAAGACATATCTCTACTACCTGAAAAGCAAAGCCGTTCTCCTTTCGTCCCCTTTTCCCACTGCATGCACCGCGCTCATATGCATAGCATATGTGGGTAACCACCAAATCCAATGTTATATCCTTAGGGTGTGTTCGGCACCTCTTTTTCCCAACCCCCTCTCTCTCTCGTTTTCAGCGCGCACGCTTTTCGAACAGCTAAACAGTACGTTTTTTAAAAAAATATATATATACGAAAGTTGCTTATTAAAAAATCAAATTAATCCTTTTTTGAAAAAAAAGCTAATACTTAATTAATCACGTGCTAATGGACCGCTCAGTTTTCCGTGTTTACTCTTTCGGTTGGGAACACCTAATGGCGGCTGCGTTCTTTCAAAGGAGATTGGAGAGATTGTGACTCGTTTTCCGCGCGCACGCTTCCCAAACTACTAAATGGTGTGTTTTTTGCAAAAAAAATTTTTTGAAATTTAAAATAGTTAATACTCAATTAATCATGCGAATAGCTCACCTCATTTTGCGTTTCTTTCCAATCTTCTCAATCCCCTCTCCCTCAAACACAGCCTTAATTTATATGGTTCCGGCCCATTACGGTATGTTCCTCGTAAAATAGAAAAAACCGAGTTTAGTCCAAAAATTTATCTCGATGTTCCTAGCTTAATACATAGCTATCCTAGATAATTATGTCATGGAGCACCATATAGGATGATTACGACATGCATGATAATAATGAGGAAACTGTCATCTAACCGACCACGTGACAAGGCTGACAAGGCTATTCAGATTATGCCATTTTTAACCATAATATTTTTTTAATAAAGTTGTAAAAAATATGTCTACATTTAGTTTTTACCAAATTTTAGTAAATACATAAGAAATCATACCAAAATTTTAGCAATATTACCAACTTATAAAAAAAAGGTTTATTTTAGCTATAATCTGAACATGCCCGACATGTTCCAGCAACATAGTAAACGAGCTATCGAGATAGTCAAAATACCATCATGGATGAAAAAGATAATATGATTGGCCACATAAGTAGTGCCACATCGTATTGAAACCAAACAACTCAAATCAAATAATTATTATTATGAGAGAATCCACTCAGTGCCATTGAGTTTTCACTACTTCTACAATATACCACTGACTTTGTCAAGTTGAATAATATGCCATCGTGTTTTCCCGAACGTCTACTGCGTGCCATCACAGTCCAGAAGCTGTTAGTTGGGCATCTGTTAGAGCTGTAAAAAGACCTATTTGCCCCTAACTCATTGTACATGTTTTTTTTTTTTTTGCCGAGGGACATATGTATTATATGAATACATATAGAGAAACTGATTGAATCATATAACAGCCTATGATTGCTAGCTTCACGCGTTGGTAGAGACGTAGTGAACTAGTGATCTGTTGACTTTGAAATGGGACATATCGGAAAAAAATAAATGTACATAATGAAAAAAAAAATCAACCCCATACAGTTAGATATAAAACAAGTTTGAACATGGTGCATGGCACTGAGCTCATATAGATATAGAAATGAATACCAAAATATTTTACTAAAACAGGTGCTAGGGTTTATTAGTCATGGGCATTTTAGTCATTAAGAAAAAATTCAATACACCAAACGGATGCACCCTAACGGCTTGTGGACGGCGATGGCACGCAGTAGACGTTTGGGAAAACTCGATGGCATATTATTCAATTTGACAAAGTCAGTGGTATATTGTAGAAGTGGTAGAAACTCAGTGGCACTGAGTGGATTCTCTCAATTATTATTATTATCATCACCTCTGTTCAGAAAGGTACAAAAATTTCTGGGCCCAAAGATATCATATGCAAGTGCCATTAATTGGGCCTAGTTAGCCCATTGTCTCGGAAAAGCCCATGCAATTTGCAACCTGGGGTGCTTCGTCTAGATTGATACGGCCTGACGAGGCCTGCGCGAAGAGGGGTGCGCGATGGCGTCATCCCCGGCGGCGGCAGCGGCGGCGGCGGCGACGGCGACGGGGTGAGATGCTAAAATCTCCCAGAGGAATCTCACCATTTCCGCCTAATTATCTTCCTTTTTTGCTTCGTCTTGTTCCGTTGCTAGCGCCTGCGTTTGAGGGTTCAATCCCTCGTTGGTTTCTCCGGAATGGCGATGATTGGGTTCATAGCTTGCCTAGCGCATCTGCGCATCTCGTAGCTGAGCTCGCTTTCATTGGTCCCGCAGATTCTTGGCGTGAGGTTGAGAAGCATGACATTTCTTCAGCTTAGCTCTGCTTGACATGACACTCTTTACTAGAAAACACCACTTGCTAATTAGTTTGGCAATTACTTGGATTAATTATGCGGATAACGGTGGGCGAGAGAACAACCTATGTTCCCATGCAAATGTGGGCTAAATTGGTGCCAGGTCAGGTTGTAGCGCCTAGTATTGTTAAATCCTAATATTGTACATCATGCAAGTACCAAAAATGGAAAAAAAACATAATGGTTTCTAACAAATGGTTGGATGTAATAGCAATTGAGTTGCTTACTTCTTGCCATGGTCTAGATCTTTATTGCTTTGGAAGAAATAAAAGTACTAGATCGAACAGAAACAGAAGAAGCTATTAAAGATTTTGTTGCACATAATTTATCTTCGTTGTTGCTTTCGATCTGCATAATGAGTACAGTAATGATTCTTTTCAAGTTTATAGAACTGCCGTTGAGTACCGTCTGAGTTTTTTTTTTCTGTCTTCTAAAAGGTTTTATGGTATTTTGCATGTTTGGAGAGTAATGGTACTCTGCAATAGATATAAACTACTTTGTTTAGTCTGCGTCATGTGCACCTAATGGTTGCCGGTTATAGGTTAATAAGAGCACACAGTTTTGTCTCTTTTTCCTGCTCGTTGACTATCCATCCATCATCCTACATTTCCCCTTCCTGACTGATGCTGGCATGCTTCATTCTTGTCTCTCTTCCCCCCTTCGTACACAAACTATGGCTACTGCTTCTCTCGTTTTTGCAGGCAAAGCGGTTGCAACACCAGTTATCTCATATATTTTGAACAAGGCCTTCACTTATCTGGTTAATTACTGGAGGACCGAGGACATGGAATCTGTGAAAGCAGAGCTTCTCAAGATGCTACCTCATGTCCAAGCAGTATTTGATGCTGTTGATTGGGATAACATTAAAGAGCAGAGCGCAGCGCTGGATGCATGGCTGTGGCAACTCAGGGATGCCGTTGAGGAAGCTGAGGATTCACTCGATGAGTTGGCTTACCACAGGTTGAAGGAAGAAGTTAAAGCCCGTGATGAACAAGAGACGAGTGGCAGTGTCTCGAAGCTAAAAGGGAAACTTATCAGGAAGCTCACTAAGCATGTCCCTAAGAATGGCATGTTGAAGAGGTTGAAGGAATCTGTTGAAGGGTTGCATAAGGCAATTGCTGGTGTAAAAGATTTCATGGGTTTTGTGAATAAGGTTGGTGTTGTTAATCACTTCATGGATTATGAGCTGAAAATGAAGGGTAAGCAGTTTGAAACAAGCTCAAGGTCGACAGCGATTGAGGTTTTTGGCTTGGAGAAGGAGAAAGACATCATGATCAAATGGCTCACCGAACCAACAGGTAATGATCCTGCAGATACCAATCTCCGCATTTTTACCATTGTAGGACATGGTGGTTTTGGGAAGACAACTTTAGCTCAGCTCATTTATAATGAGAAGAAAGTGCAAATTTGTTTTGACATATGCATATGGGTATCTGTGTCTAGTCATTTTGATGCACCGTCAATAACAAAAAGTATCATTGAGGCAGTTTCAAAAAAGACCCCTCCAGCCAACACACTGGAAGCTCTGCATGCCATCCTTGAAGATAGGTTAATCTCTAAGAGATTTTTGCTTATTTTGGACAATGTTTGGAATGACAATGATATGAATGAGTGGGAGAAATTATTAGCTCCCCTCAGAATTGGTGGAACTGGGAGCATTATTTTGCTTACGACCCGGATGAAGTCGGTAGGAGATATGGCTGGTTATGCCCTTGGACTCAAGGTGCAACATCTGAAATTAGATGGTTTACTAGAGAAAGATATTCTGATGCTGTTCAACAAGCATGCATTTCGCGGTCTCAGTCTTGATTGCTGCAAAAACTTACACCCACTTGGTGAACAGATTGTGAAAAAGATTAGCGGGTGTCCCTTAGCAGCCAAGGTTATAGGTGCACATTTAAGGGATAATATTAGTTATATGTACTGGAATAAAATTTTGCAAGAAGACTTACAGAACTTACAACTAGGGATGGATGGTGTCATGAAGGTCCTTAGATTAAGCTACCATCATTTACCTGCAAACCTGCAGCTGTGCTTTCGATATTGTAGTATATTTCCACAAGGGTACAGATTTGGGAAGAAAGAGCTGGTCGAGATGTGGTTGGGTTCAGGGATGATTTTGCAAACTACAGATGAAACAAAAACTCTAGAGGATATTGGAGGGCAATGTTTGGACCAGTTGACAAGAAAATCTTTCTTTGAGTTCACATCAAAAGAAAGGGATGGAGTAGTTCTTGAAGAGCATTACGCTATGCATGACGTATTGCATGATTTGGCACAAGTTGTGTCTTCTGGTGAATGCTTGAGGATTGGAGGTATTAGATCAATGAAGATTGCAAAAACAGTTCGCCACCTGTCTGTCAAAATAGTAGATTCAGCTCATCTCAAGGAGCTCTTCCATCTTAACAACTTACGCAGTTTAGTTATTGAATTTGTCGGAGATGACCCCAGTATGAATTATTCAATTACATTTGATGAAATTTTGAAAAGTTTTAGAAGCCTGCGCCTACTGTGCGTAACTGCTAAATGCTGGTTTGACATGCCTGGTGCTGTTTCGAAGCTAATACACCTTCGCTACATCTCCTTGCTTAGCACCAAAAGATCTTTCCTTGTGTCAATGCATAAGCGGTTCACTCTTTACCATCTAGAAACACTGAAGATTATGGAGTATTCAGAAGGGAAAATGCTCAAACTAAATGGCCTGAGCAATCTAGTATGCTTGAGAAATTTGCATGTTCCTTATGACACCATTTCCTCAATACCTCGAATAGGGAAACTTACATGTCTTGAATATTTAAATGCATTTAGTGTCCAGAAAAGAATTGGACACACTGTGTGTGAACTAAAGAATTTGTCACAACTTCATCATCTTCGACTGCGAGATATTCAGAATGTTGGGTCATGCAAAGAAGTTTTGGATGCTAACTTGAAGGATAAGAAACATATGAGGACATTTTCTTTGCATTGGTCTTCTCACGAGGTTATTGCAGAAAATGTAAGTGACCTAGTTCTTGATTACTTGCAACCGCATTCTGACCTTGAAGAGCTGGATATTATAGGATTCTCTGGCACTAGGCTTCCATTCTGGATAACAGACTCCTATCTTGTAAATATTGTATCGCTCAATATCATCAATTGTTGCAAAATTGAGCACGTTCCATCGTTAGCAAGTCTCTGTTCACTAAAGAATCTGTTTTTGCAAGATCTTTCACTATTAGCAAGTATGGGCTGCATGCTTCATGAATGTGACAAGATTCCTGTTGGTTGCAGTCATTCATTCCAAGAATGTCCAAGTTCAATTGATATGTCGGAAGGGATGGTTGATGTTGAATCAGAAGGAGTCTCTTTTCCGCCTCATCTCAGTACTCTGACAATTCGAGGATGTCCTCAACTGATGAAACTCCCAACTTTACCATCCATGCTAAAGCAGTTGAAAATAGAAAAATCTGGGTTGATGCTTCTTCCAAAGATGTACCAGAAGCACAATGATACAGAGGGAAGTTTCCCATGTCCAAATGAATCACAACTTACAAACGTGCTCATCGAATATTGCCCAAACTTGAATTCTTTGTTACATTGTTTCTTGGGACAGAATGTAACTCTTACATCTCTTAGAGAGCTCCGCATCAACCAATGTGAAAAGCTTGAGTATTTACCATTGAATGGTTTAATGGAATTAGTAAACCTGCAAATCCTAGAGGTGTCGGATTGTTCAATGCTCAAGAAAAGTGGGATGGAAGTTAAGCTTCTTCCGTCATCGCTGGAACAGCTCTCCATTAAATCCTGTGGTGAATTAGCAAACATATTGATTGATTTATTGGCAGGACTGGAAGCTCTTACCTTCCTAGAGCTAGCTAATTGCAGCCACCTGATATCCCTGCCCACAGTGAAGACATTTGAAACTTTGACAGCACTTAAGGAACTGAGACTATATGGTTGTCCAGAATTGTCTTCCTTGGGTGGGTTGCAGTGCCTCAAATCTCTAAGACTATTGATTATCCGTGGTTGCTGTAGTCTCACAAAGATTTCTTCATTGCCACCTCCATTACAATGCTGGAGTAGCCAAGATGATTCCACAGAGAATTCGCTAAAACTTGGGACATTATTTATTGATGATCACTCTCTGCTTTTTGTGGAGCCACTACGAAGTGTTCGGTTTACTAGGAGATTATCTCTTTTGGATGATCCTATCATGACATCACTACCTGAGCAATGGCTCCTGCAGAATCGCACGACACTAAGTATTTTGTGGCTATGGAATGTGAAGTCTCTGCAATGCCTTCCTTCAAGCATGAAAGATCTCTGTCACCTCCAAAGTTTCACTCTATTTAATGCTCCTCTTGTAAACTCACTGCCAGACATGCCTGCATCACTTAAGGATCTCATTATTGATTGTTGTCAAATAGCCTTAGCTGAGCGGTGCAGAAAAGGAGGCTGTGACTGGAGCAAGATTGCTCATGTCACTCTTCTGAAAATTAATGGTAACGAGCCCTTGTAGGTCCTCTACCTTACTTCTACAGTGGTAAGTGCTATTGATATATCTTGACTAGTAATTCTGCTCTGTTCAATTTTTTAGAGAAAAAATGAATCCGCCGTGAGCCATTAAAAAGCATGCATTTTACCAGGGAGTTGACAATATGGGATGATCCTGTTATGACTTCATTGCCAGAGCAATATGACTCCTGCAGAGCCGCCTTGTTCTACGAAATTTGTCGATATGGAACACAAAGGCTCTACAATGTCTTCCTTCAAACCTGGCAAATCTCTGCCATCTCCAAAGTTTTACTCTAATCAATGCTCCCATTGTCAGTGCAATTCCAGACCTGCCAGCATCGCTGAGCAATCTCATTGTTCAAAATTGCCACACAATATTAGCTGACCGGTGCAGAAAGGGAGCTCATGACTGGAGTAAGATCGCTTATATCCCCCTCATGAAAATCAGTGTTATAGATGAACAATAGTTGTATATTTCATATTGTGTACTCTTTATTGTTTGATTCGCAACTTCCTAACAACATTGATTATGCAGATAAATCCTGCCCTCATGACATCTTTTTCATCAACTTGTAAGAGCTTCCAGTTTCATCTTCCTCTCCTTTTCCTGTGGATGAATGCTCCAAGGCAGCCAAGCAAGTGGAAGGACTCCCTGCGAACACCTATAGTGTACAAATTTAAGGCCACAAAATCTTTTCGAGTAGGGTAATGGAGTAATTATGCTGAGTAAAAAGAAGTGAATGCCTCTAATGCTCTGCTTGGAACAACAAGATTTGTGTGAGTTTCTAAGAAACATTTCTATGGTTGCTACAAAATTCCTGTGGAACACATGTGCTAAAACAAACAATATTAAGTTCTTCTGATAGCTCATTCCATTTAGACCACTTCATTTTTGTTTAATCACTAGTGCACTAACAATGACAGCAAAGCAGTGCAAACCAGTATTTGCAAAAATACTGCAGGGTTGGAGGGTTATCTGAGGTGCGAAAATACAAAATGTTTCTGCAAAAAAATACAAGCTTTTAATTTCTAATGGTATCCAATCCTTGTAACTTCTTGGTATCTATTATTTGGGGTTCTGTTTTGTACTTGTGAGAATAATGGGGAGGCACATATATCAACGAATTATAGTTGGTTAATCGTATAGAAAAGATGCACTGGAACAACACTACAATATACAAGTAATATACTGAAACAGCACTACAATATACTGGAACAACACAATTGACAGCAACATTTATACGGTTTGGACCCTATCTAATGTGTAGTAACACTACTATGTGCGGCTCATTCCATGGTAATTATAATGAGGAATTGCTCGAGGACTGTCTCGTGCAAGAGCAAATTCCTAATGCTGATGCATATATATGTTTTGTTTCAGATATTTTGTATCCTTATCCATGAATTGATGGAGTGAAGATTTTCATCTACCAGATTTCAGCTGTTACTGTCAGAGTTCTTATGGCCAACCAGTCAATGGTGCGTGTGCTTTTCTCCTCGACAATTTTTAATGCTATTTGATCTGTATATGGGTAACCTGTCACCTGTTCTGAGTACCTGGAGCATTTACACAATTCTAAGAAAACCAAAATGAAATAGACAAAAGCATAAAACAAATCCTGCATAGTTTCCAAAACTTAGCGCTTGACCAAAAACAGTTGTCATCCAGAAACAAAAACATGAAGCCAGAGCCCAGAGGACAAGATGGCAGCTGTTTTTGTCAACCATCTTTGGAAATCACGTTCAGGGAACTATGTATATATAAAGCTGATATACATTTTTGCATACCCTTTTGTTCTAGGATCCACATATTCAATCACAGCAAATGGCACATAGCCTAAAGCTCTGTGCCTACGTATTGCTCCTATTCCTTGTTCATAGTGATTCTCCTGTTAATGAAAGCACGACACAGTTTTGTATCCGTGCTTCCAGCAGCCGTCATTCTGCCTGGCCTCGTTCACATTATTGCTGCTCCAAAATACCTCCAGGTAACTAAATCTCTTGTATAAAACCGTTCAGTCAGTTTGATTCTGCAAAATTATTTGTGCTATTTTCGCCGGTTCAGATGAGAATAATCATTTTTCGCATACGTCAACTCTGTTCAGATGATACATGGTCAGGCGGCGTCTGGAACTGAGCTCACAGTGGCCTCTTCTCATACCTCCTCCCTGAGGATGACGGCACGGTTCGCTTCATGAACCAATCTACGCGGCAATTCATGACTATTCGTTGTATATCAATAAGGTCCAAGGCAGCGTTCCTCGACCCGGGAATATCGTCCCCATCCTGGGAAATTGGGGACATTTTTATCCCCCACCTTATAAAAAACATCACAAGGAGCGATTATGTTCGCCCCATTCCTCGACCCAATCAACCTGGGAATTTTGTGACTATGTCATGATTCTAAGAAACCATAGGATGTTTATACCGATCTTGAGCGGTCATCGGCCTCGTTGGACTGTTAGTACAAGGACAGATCTGGACATACATACCGGATGTCGTGTTCATCGGAGTCAGGACGACACGACAGTCAGCAAGGGATGAAAATGGTTAGAAATAGTTGGAAACGGTATCTTTATTTTATTATTTTACGGAAAAGGACAGGAAATTCTCGTATTTAAGAATTTAACTATTTAGTATCAACTTTGCTGCAACATTAACCGAATAAAAAAACTAAATTTTAGAAACAGTTACAGTCAGTAAAAATATTATTATTATGGGTGTGTTTAGATCATGGGTGTAAAGTTTTGACATGTCACATCGGGTATTATATAGGGTGTCGCATGGGATTTTAGGCACTAATAAAAAAACTAATTATATAATCCATCAGGAAACAGCGAGACGAATTTATTAAGCCTAACTAATCTGTCATCAGTAAATGTTTACTGTAGCACCACATTATCAATTCATTGAGCAATTAGGCTTAAAAATTCTTCTCGCAAATTAGTCGCAATCTGTGCAATTAGTTATTTTTTTAGCCTATATTTAATACTTTAAAACATTTCCTTTTTTTTATGGTGAGGCCCACCTGTTGTATATGCTCTATCACCTCCTCATCCCCTCTTCCACTCTCTCTTCTCATGCCGTCGGTCTCTCTCTCTCTCTCTCTCTCCGCCTCTCTTTCTCGGGCCGTCGGGCGCAGGTTGAGCGGCGGCGGGCAGGCAGCGCGCACAGCGGCGCGCGGGGGAGGGTGGTGGGCGACAACGACGGGTCGACGAGCGTGTGGCATGACATGCCCGTGTGTCTCCTCGTCCTCGGCTTCTCCCTCCACGTGTCATCGCCTGGCTCCGAGTGATGGGCGGCGGTGACGAGCGTGGCGGCGGCGGTGGCAGCGTTCATGGCGATGTTCACGCTGGGATACGAGTCGGGAGGGTCGCGCTAGGGCTCACCATCGACACGCCGAGGGGGCAGCGCTCGGCCGGCTCCGGTGGTGGCGGTGGCGGTGAGGACGGCGTGACGTGGAGCAAGGCGGTTGCGGCGACAACAGCGGGATGTGGAGCAAGGCGGCGGCGGCGGCGACGACGACGGCAGCGGGATCCTCCTTCCCCATCGTCACGCGACGCGAAGCTCGGACACGCCGGTGCTACTGCACCGCCCCCTTTCCTTCCCTGCGCGGAGCCCACCGACCAGTTCCCCTCCTCGTTTCGCGCCGCCGCCCACTGCCCACCCCACGTGTAGCCGTCCGCCGCCAGAGCGAGCCCCACCTCCCCCGTCGGCCACTCGAGCTACCTCCTCCTCCATCGGCCGCCCGAGCGACCTCCACCTCCGCCACAGCCGCCAGCGCCCGAGCAAGCTCTGCCTACCCTTGCCCCCACCCTCGCCCGTCCATCGCTATTCTCGGTGCCGCCGTGGTGGTGAGCTGGTGAGGGGAGGGAGAAGAGAGAGAGGGGGAGAGATTGGGGATAGAGATAGAGTAGAGAGAGATAGAGAGGAGTAGGAACTAACAGGTGGGACCCATCGTTTTTTATTAAAAGAACTGCTGACTGAACTACCATGTATGACTAAAACCACCGTAGATTGAGCTGGGGGGTTATTTATCCAGTTTATATAGTTGGGGGTGAAGGATGTCCGGTTTTGTGGTTCGGGGAGTAATTCAGTCGACCGTGATAGTTCGAGAGGTAATTTGTACTTTTTCCATTAGTCATTATAGAGTACATATTATGGGGAGGTGTTTTTATGCCTAGAAAGGATAAAGAAAATATCTACTCGTTTTTAGCATATCATTTCATTTAAATAGTTATAAAAAGATAAAATAGATTAATATAAAATATATCACTATGCAAACATGGAAACTTAAATTCGACTTTTACGAGTTATAGAAAATGACAAATATATCTGTGAATTTACACATTAACTACTTTCAGTTTATTTTCATGTAGAAGTTGAATTTAACCTTTTATGTTCGTAAAGTTATGTATTTATATTAATCTATTTTTTATTTTTATGACTATTTAGGTGGTATGTAAGAAATGAGATGATGTTCACTCGAAGGATGAAAAACCATCTTCACATATCATCTCATATGTTCAATTTTTTTCTATGTTCAATAGTTGTTGTCAAGATATTGCGGATAGATATACAAACAGATATACCTCCCACTCAGGTAAAATATTGCAACCAAAAGTTGTTATCGGTAGGGATGAAAACGATAGCGGTAATTACTAACCGGCCAAGTTGCTGTTTCCGAAGTTTACCGACTGAATAATACGGAAATGATAATTCCTGGAAACGGAAGCGGTAAAAAAATACAAAAAATGGTTTGGTGATTTGCCAACCGTTTTGTTCGATTACTGTATTATTATTATTATGGTAATTACTGTTTACATATTTTGGTAAATTACCCTTTTTATAAGGAATAAGTTCACCGGAGGTCCTCAACTTAATAGTGAGATTTTTTTAGGTCCTTTAACCACAAAACCAAAAATGTGTAACCCTAAACTCACTCAATCTGTTCAAAGGAGGTCTCATGGCAGTATTTTTGCCCGGTTTTGCTGACGTGGCATCCTAGTCAGCAAAAAATAAAAAATAAATATGTGGGGCCCACATGTAAGTGAGAAAAAAATGTGAGGTCTCTCTTTTCTTTTTCTTTTATCTTCTCTTCCCTTCAAATCCACAGCTGGGTGTGAGAGGTGGCGGCGGCGGCAGCGGGCGAGCAGCGGCAGCGGGTGAAAGAATATCCGGGTTGCCGCCATCGGAGTTAATACCGAGGGAGAAGGAGGGCGCGTCGAGAGCCTCGTAACTTCGCCGTTGCTCCTACCGGCGGTGCTTCTCATCACCGTCGATGTCAAGAGAGAAGGTGGGACTCATCGCCGTCACCCTCAAAATCGATTTCGAGAGAGAAGGATGAAGTCCGACAAAGGGGGGACCGGCAGCAGGCGAGCACGGCAGAGGGGGGGACCGGCGGCGGGTGAGCGTGGCAGCGGGCGGAGCGGAGCGGCCGGAGTAGGCCACAGAGCGGGGACGGCGGCAGGCGACAAGGCAAAGGGGGCGGAGCGGCAGCGACCACCACGCTTCTTGCGCTCCGGCCCTCGATCTCCTCCACCAGCTGCGGTGCCTCTGCCGCCCTCCGCGGCTGACTTTGCTCCACCCGCCGCTGACCTCACACCTGGCGTCCCCGTCCCCCATCGCCTCGCGTCCTCGTCGCTGCGCCTCTCCCCTCCCCCATCTCCCGCCAGCCGCCTCCCCTTTCCCTCCTGTCGCGGCGCTCAAGAAGAGAAGAGAAGGAGAAGAAAAAAATGTGCAGCTGACATGTGGGCCCCATGTACTTTTTTTTAATTTTTTTTACTAGGATGCCATGTCAGCAAAACCACCCATATATATTGCCATAGAACCTTAAGTGCACGGTTTGTGTGTATTTAGGGGTACACATGTCTGTTTTTGTGGCTAAGGGACTAAAAAAATCTCGCTGTTAAGTTGAGGGACCTCCGGTGAACTTATTCCCTTTTTTTAAAAAAAAACACTTAACAACTTATTAAAAGACATCATTTAGGGGAATTAAATTCCCGAATACATTGCCAGGATAAACATAAGAGTTGAACCATCTTTAACAAGAGAGAGGTCAGCTGAAAAAAGGAAGCAAACTTTCTAATGAAACTAAGCAGCAATGAAGGAGCAAATCGACAGGGTATTACGGCAATGCCACGACGATTGCATCCGAGGGCCTCTATTGATGTGCACTCCGCTTGACAAACCGGTAAGCCCCTTCGGTTGCCTCCACGGGAACGACACATATGATAGGTTTGTTGCGAAGCCGTAGATTTTGGTGTGAGCATCACCGGACTCCACAAAAAATTTCCACAGAGTTTATCGTTGAATCTGAGGAGCTCTGACTGTAAACCTGCAAACCAAGATTGCAAATTCAATCTGTGCTTAACCCTAACGGTAAACCCTTCATGGTTACTGCTGCCAAGAGACAAAGAGGAAGAACTTCCCCAAATCCAGCCAACCAATGACTCAATTCGAAGATTATGGCGAAGAACTTGCTGTCTTGGTAACTCGATGGAGAGGGTTGAAGAAGAGGAGACCATCTATGCCATATCCACGCCACTGCCACCACTGCATGTCGCATCTGCACCACCACCGCCATCGCAGGCTGCATTCGTGCCGCTGTCGCCACCGCGGGCCTCCGCGCCACCGTCGCGGCCGCGGGTCGCATCCGCAACACCGTCGTCACTGCGGGCCACATCCGAGCCGCCGCCGCCGCCGCGGGCCGCATCCGAGCCACCGCCATCGCGCAGACCTGATCCGCGCTGCCGCCGTCCAAGCTGCATCCGCATCGCCTCGGGTCGTATCCGTGTTGCCATCACCGTCACGAGTTGCATCCGCGTCACCTCCGCCGTCGCTGGCCGCATCCGCGTCACTGCTGCCGTCCCCAACTTCCATACCACACCAACAAGAAGAAAACGGGAAGAACCCGACCTAAGAAGACTAGCCCGACTACTCAACTACACTAGGTGAGGGGGGACGACCCCATCTTTGGCCCAAGTTATCTCTAATGGCCCATTCCCCGGCCCAACTATCCCAATCCTAGTGTCCCACAAGGCTATAATAACCCTAAAACATAGAGCTGCTCCAGTTTGATAGCTCCCTACCCAGATACCCTGATACTTTATAGAATTATTACAGTTATATGTCATCAAATTTATAAGGGACAATTTTGTTTTTACCCCTACTTTCATCTCCAATATTGATTTTGCCCCTACTTTTTAAGGTTTTCGTTTTTGCCCTCACTTTTTTGAACCGGAAGAGGCGTTTACCCCTAGTTTGGATGGAAGTTAGTGGGACCGGGTATATGGCAGTAAAAAAATAGAGAAATAAAGGAAATATTTTTTTTCAAATTTGTGTTTTACTCTTTTACCCCTGGCAAATATCTAACAGAGAATCGATTCTTCCCCCAACCTCTTTGCTTTTCTCTCGATTCTACAAGCGGTGGCGGCGGCTAGGGCGCAACTCCTCCTGCCGGTGATCCGGAGAGGGGTAGGCGGCGGGCAGGCGACGGGGAGCGGGCGGCGGGGAGAGGGCTAGGCGGTGGCGGCTGAGAGGGTGGTTGGAGGCGGCGGGGAGAGCGCTAGGCGGGGCGGCTGAGAGGGTGGTTGGATGCGGCGGGGAGAGGCAGGGCCGGTCCTGGGGTTTGGGGCCACAAGGCAAAAACTCATATGGAGGCCCTTATTGACACGCGGCTACTGGCGAGCTGCGATTTGCCGTGTCCACTTGCTGTTTCCATTTACGAGACACCGAGAAGTCACCGCGAGCGCAGGAGCAACGAGTGGCGTGATGTGATCGAGGCGGCGCGACAGGAGTCAGATGAATATCGCTTCGGCTTCGCTGAAACATGCCTGGTGATGGACTAAAATTGAATTGGGCTATTCAGTTGTCTAATTTAATATAGGCCCATAGCCCATGGATTAAAATTATACAATGCGTAGTATATATATATATATATATATATATATATATATATATATATATATATATATATATATACTATATGTGTATAGAGGCCCCCTAAATTTTGGGGGCCTCGGGCGGCCGCACGGCCTGACCCCTCCTAGGGCCAGCCCTGGAGAGGGCTAAGACGGCGGCCGATAGGGTGGTTGGAGGCGGCGGGGAGAGGGCTAGGCCGCCGCGCTCGAGGCGCCCATGCTGCCGGTCCACGCGCCGCCGCCGCCGTCCAAGGATTCCGGCGGCTCCCGCGCCGCCTCTAGCTCGGCCTCGGCCATGGGTGAGCCCTCTCTCGTCTTCCTGGTTCATAGTGCGGTAGCTGGCCCTAGACACTACCAATCTGCGCCTTGCCTGCTATAATTGGCAATTTGACATGCTTGTTGTTGGTTGCTAGTTTGAATATCAATTCTTCAGGTAGAGAATACAGCAGATTTCATCTCACGATGATCCTGATGCACACCGGGTTATAGTTGTAGCAGCAATCGGTGGATTGAGCTGACCTTCCGCTATATTGCTTTGCTCATTTAGTACATGACCATGATAGTTCTTGGAGTGTAGCTGCGGTGGGATTTGCTCCGATTGACAACGCGTTGGTGCTATGTTGATGTCTCGTCTGGAATTTGTTTCTATTGCTGCCTTGTTGGAATGTGTAACGATCAAGTATGATGTACTTACTAAATAAGCTTGGTTTTCAGAGATAGAAATTTGTATATTATAATTGGTTTTACATTTTCACTTGCACCTTGTTTCTTGACTAATTAATGACATACTCTTTTTTATCAACTAAACAGACGTGGAGATGGTGGATGAAGGAAATAACAAGTCCATGTCCTTCTTGAAGCCAATTGGCAGCATTAGCAAGAAGAAGGTACAACTTCACTTGAAGATCAAGAAAGATAAAAGAAAAGCTGGGAAGAAGGGGAGGTTTAGTAAAAAGTGTTATATTTAATTGGGTAATTGATCCATTTAAATCAATTAAATCAAATAAATTCCAAGACTCATTATGCTAGGAATTCATATGTATTCATTCTCTTATGGGATATCAATGGGATGAGGAGTTTTGAGAATTAATCCATTTGATTAGGGAATTGGTAACTTATATCAATTACTCCTAATTGATGGATGGTTGATGGTTGTGTAGTGGAGGATGGTTCATGGCTAGTTGATGACAATTAGTTGCTCTATTCCTCTTCCTATTCCATTGGTAACCTACATCAATTACTCCTAATTGATGGTTGGTTGATGGTTGTGTAGTGGAGGATGGTTCATGGCTAATTGATGAGAATTAGTTACTCTATTCCTCTTCCTATTATATGACTCTTACTCTTCATCTTCCATTCCTCATATAAAATGAGAATGGATTTGATCTCCATAAGGAGAAGAGAGACACACTTTCATCTATTTCCAAGGCTGTTGCTGCTACAGTAATCCCATCCCGACGAGTGTGTGCACACGCGTTGGGAGAGTAGGCCTCCGAAACCACGCACTGCTGCGACGTTTGCACGGACGGACGGGCGATCGGGTTTTTGGGGAGCGCAAGGCGCGACTACTCACTGTTCGTCAACGTCTACTTCGTCTTCACCGACATGTCAAACACTGGAGACAACGTCAACACTGGAGACAAGGAGAAGGAGGCTTCCGTCAACACCAACGGAGGCAATACTGCCTCAAACTCTAGGGGAGGACCATTCTTGGGGTATAACCTTTTTACATTATTTCAATTAGAAGTTTTACTGTTAATGTTCATCGCAAATGTCAACATTGCGTTATTATGTGATTGTTGATGCTTATTCTACGTTAAGCATGCTCATGTTGATTACATTCACCACTATCACTAGATCAAATCCCATTGTAAATATGTTTCTCAAAAAAAAATCCCATTGTAAATATCATGTT